GCACTGACCTTCACCTCGATAGACACACGAGCCAGAGGCATTGTCATAGCCTCGGTCGCAAGCTGTGCAGAGATCGGCGCTATTGCAGGAGACACAGCCAATGATTGTGCATTCTGAAAGATACATGAAACACATCGATAATATATATATAACAAAAAAAAAAGAAAGATATGCAGAGTGATACAGGAAGATACATTAATAAAAGATTAATATAAGATTAATAAAAATAAAATGAAATAATTATTAATAAAAAATGTAGAGTGATACAGAAAAATACATTAATAAAAGATTAATATAAGATTAATAAAAATAAAATAAAATAATTATTAATAAAAGATGTAGAGTGATACAGAAAGATACATTAATAAAAGATTAATAAAAGATTAATAAAAATAAAATAAAATAATTATTAATAAAAGATGTAGAGTGATACAGGCAAATACGTAAGAAGGGAGATAAAAGACGATATGTAAAGAGACAGAACGTTGATGGTGATGATGCTGATGAGTGAGTGAAAAGATACGGAGAGATATTGAAAGATGCAGTTTTAATAGTGATACTAATGGCGATAAAGATACAGGATATACATTTTTAATGGTGAGGATAATGATGAGGAGAAATATACAAAATGATGATGTTAGTGATGACGAAAATAAATTAGTGAATAGTAATGCGAAGAAATAGATAGACCGAAATAAACAATACAGTGAATGCTGACAACAAAGCTATTGTGAATAAGAACAGACAGAAAGATACAGAAAGATACAGGAAGATACAGTTATAATAATTAGTATAATGAAACAGATATATACAGAGACATACAGAAAGATACAGAAAATACAGTGATAATGGTGACAATAAATGAATGAGTGAATGTGTTATCAGATATGCGTGAGTGAGGGACTGAATGCATTAATAAGAACGTGTTAATGTTCAAATGAATAAAAAGTTATGATTGCAGTAAAATGAGTCGATATATTATAATCATTATTATTGTAACGTATCAATAAAATTGCAACACAGTATGTGATGTTATTAACAACAAGAATCTTGCTATATAATTTCCACGTCTTTTTAATTATTATTATGAATGTTGCACCTGCAGTGTCCATGACCAAATGCGATCACTAACCTTGCACGGGATCTGTGTATTGCAGAAGTTGCAAACAGGTTCTTATCACAGGTATCTTCATGCAATCATAAGTTATTTCTCTCTTTTTTGTTTACCTCTTTCGCTCTTATTATCATTTTCCTTCCTTATGCTCTCTTTCTCTCGCGCTTTCGTACCAGATTTTTTTTCTCTCTCCTTGTCTTTCTTCCCATTTTTCTTTTCTTTTTGACGGGATTTCTTCTTTTGCTCTTTCATCTTTTCTCTCTCTCTCTCTCTCTCTCTCTCTCTCTCTCTCTCTCTCTCTCTCTCTCTTGTTCCTCCACATTTATCAGTCTGTTTCTCTTTTTCTACTTGCTTCAGATTTACAGTAATATTTTTATATTTTTAAAAGATTTTTGGGAGAAAAACAAAAAAATAAGGCACATGTTCTCACACATAACCACACGTACACACACAAAAAAACAATATAACACACACACACAACACTCTATAACACACACAAACACACGCAATCAAACAACATAATGTACGCACACATACACAGCATGGTGTACAGATAAACACACACACACACACATAAACATAAACACACTCATACACAGACAAACCACACATCCCTCCGTACCTCCCTCCCACACATCCAAGCACACACACACACACACACACACACACACACACACACACACACACACACACACACACACACACATACACACACTCACACACACACATACGTACACACGAACCTCATGACTCTAGCACGGAAATAGAGTTTCAAGTTTCGAGAAACACCTTGATCTATTTCATCCATCTTGAGAAATAAGCGCCCCACCGCGATATAGATCATGCAAGTGGGTGATCGATCTGTCCATCACGGAGGATAATTGAAGGTTGAGAGTCCTTCGAGAGCCCGAGAGAGAGAGAGAACAAGAAAGAGAGAAAGAGAGAGAGAGAGAGAGAGAGAGATAGATAGATAAATAGAGAGAGAGAGAGAGAGATCAAGAAAGAGAGAAAGAGAGAGAAAGAGAGAGAGAGAGAGAGAGAGAGAGAGAGAGAGAGAGAGAGAGAGAAAGAGAGAGAAAGAGAGAGAAAGAGAGAGAGAAAGAGAGAGAGAGAGAAAGAGAGAGAGAAAGAGAGAGAGAGAGAGATCAAGAAAGAGAGAAGTAGAGAGAGAGAGAGAGAGAGAGATCAAGAAAGAGAGAAGTAGAGAGAGAGAGAGAGAGAGAGAGAGAGAGAGAGAGAGAGAGAGAGAGAGAGAGAGAGAGAGAAAGAGAGAGAAAGAGAGAGAAAGAGAGAGAGAAAGAGAGAGAGAGAGAGATCAAGAAAGAGAGAAAGAGAGAGAAAGAGAGAGAGAGAGAGAGAGATCAAGAAAGAGAGAAAGAGAGAGAG